AAAATTCACAAAAAATCCACAATGTAAAACTAAAGGTCACACGAGTGATCACGTGTTGAAGCATTTTTCATATTCAAACGATAAGTTTCAATAAATATCAATTAAAATATGAATTTACAACGAAGCAAAATGTAACATTGTTCTAAATTGGTACATTTCTAGGATGGTATAGGAGAGAAACAAACGAGTAAATTGAAATTTCGAATGATTTAGTTTAATTAATTCCGTAGATATCTGATTTCTCAAGTTATTCAACAATAATAACCTGACTTCTCAAAAATAAATAATTATTCTCTCATATTTTTAATATTGTTGATTACTTTTAAGCGTTAACTTATATGTGTAAAGTTGATCGGTCGGGACCTATGATAGTCTCCAAAGTCCTAATATTATTTTCATTTCGTAATAGTCTATGTTGGACACTCAAAAAAGAAGAAAGATTCAAGCTTCAAAACTCAAAAGAGTAATGCGATTTGTTAACACTAAAATTGTAGAGAATTAGAAACCATAATTCTATAACACCAAGAGGAATAAATCTGCAATACACACACACATACATAAAATTTATAGAGGTTCGTATCAATGTAAAACTACATCCCTTTCCGTCGTGGCAATAATTCTCTATTATGGAAAAAAAGTTTTATGATAGGAAATTCTCAAACCCGATTTTATCTAAAATCTCTCCTTCCTTTTTATGATAATGCAAAATTCTAATGATTTCTCAATTCATTAAAAAAAAATATATAGAGTAAAATCGAAATTAAAAGTGTGAAATTTCTAAACTATCCTTAGCCTCGTTTGTCTCCCTTTAAAAAAAATTCTCATACTCATTTTCATCCACACGTTCACACATAAATCCAAAACGTTTTTGTACTTTTAACCGTTTTCAAAAAAATCATTATTTAAAATATAATTTTTCCTAGATAGTCAAACAGGAGCTTAATGACAATTTGGTTACGAGGATCCGTCCTCGAACTCCGAGAAGGCTAACCTCAATGACTTTATCGTAAAAGTTCGATCTATGCACGAACTATACACATCAACAGCCACAACTTAACAAAAATGAGTATTCTACTTCTAGAATCAGTGTTCTCAATCAACTCACAATCTTGGAAGGTATATTCAGAATAAAATTTCCATACTAAAAATGTTCGTGAATGAATCTTAATCTCGAGGTTCCTTTTCTGACTGCAAAAGCACGGTATAAGTTAATGGAATGAGGAGAGGTCAAAACGGGAATTTGACTGCTAAAGATGTGAATGACAATCACGTGGTAATTAATTACATGCTTCCCTTTTGGACATAAACTTTGAATTACAGATTTTGATTGGTAAAACGAGAATCAACCTGGCGCCGCCACGTCCCTTTGACTCTAATCATTCGCCGCCGCGTCTTTGGCCACTCACACCCGCCGTCATTCTCCACAAAAATTTAAATTATTAAAAATGCAAGAAATTGTATTATAGTTATACAATCGTTGTCTTCTTGATTTGTAAATCGATTTTATTTATTTTTTCTTTGTAGACGTGATTCACGTGAATGACAATTAAACTTGAATTTAAAATATTTTATCAAGATACGTTCTTAATTTTGTATTAAATACATTTTCTTGTTAAAGAAAGTAAAAACTCATCCTAATAATACCTAAAAAAATTATAATTTATGTTAATTGAAGCAAAGTAAGTCAGTTAATTGTTATTTATTTATTTCCTTTAATAATATTATTAATTATTCGTTGCATTGTGTGTCTTGATGTGCCATTGACAATGAATTAGGGTGCCTTGATATTTATTGTTAAATTGGACGGCTAGTGTCTAGTGATTGCCATTTATAATAACATGTTATGCCTTATAAGTTATTACCTGTTTGATTTAGTTTAAAAAAAAAAAATCAATTTTTTTACTAAATTTTGATAAAAGTTGATGAAATTTATGATCGAAAAAAAAATGTTGAATTTTAGGAAATAAGGGCAAAGTATGACCTTAATGTCTTGGGGTGCCACACTTATCGTGGAGTGTCAACGTCGAAAGTTATCTCCCATAATTTAAAAATATATTTTGACAGGAAGAAAATCACAAATAAGTAAAAAAATAAAAAAAAATTATCTAAAGTTTACATAAAAAAATTAAAATTAAAACCTTGTGGGGGCTGCTCAACCGAATGAAAAGCAATGAGTTCCGAAAATAAAAACTATCAAGTGTTCTTGTCATTCCTTAAGAAACATATTCCTATGATCCTATGAACCCAACCCAAACTTTGACATATCATATTTTCGTTTGGTCAGCTTTTTGTCTGTTTGAATATCCCTCACCCCACCCCCACAGTCCACCTCCATATATATACATACAACAAGTATATATACACATCAAGATCATTGTTTTTACTTTTTAGTGTAATGGAAGAAGATGAAGATGTACAGAATTGAAGAAAGACTGGCTTTCGAGGAGGTGAAAAGTGATAGGCCATTGAAGAGTTTGATGTTCAGAAACTCTGCTTTGGGAGGGGTGCTTGTTATGGTTATCTTCACACTATCACTCTTGGTGTTACCACTGGTTCTGCCACCACTTCCGCCGCCGCCGCCGTTGTTCCTCCTTGTCCCGGTGTTGATAATGGCCATGTTGATATTCTTGGCCTTTTCTCCATCACAAGTGCCTAATGTTTCTGTGATTACTTCTGTCTGAGTATGTGTGTGTATGTTTTATGGGAATTTTTAAGGTTAGGTCCAATGTTTGTTTATAGGAGGAAATAATTAGGAGAGAATTCTTATTCTGCAAGTGAAATATGATTCAAAGAGAGCTGTATTTCCATGATTTTGGAGGATTGTGTGGAAAATTAAAATTAATTGGTCTGATTAATCTTCTCTTGATGGATGATTATTAAAGTTATGCAAATGTTGTTATTTGAAGATCGTCCACTCAAAAAATAGTGAAAAAATTATATAGCATAAAACTAAAATATGAAGTGATTCGGTCAATTTACAAGTGAATCAGCTAGTAGTTCTTGTTGAAGATTAAATCTTAAATTTTTACATGAGTTAGTTTTATATGATATTCTAGTAAACTAAAGATCTTGAGTTAAGAACTCATTGTGATGCAGTTAAAAAATTTAGTTTAGGGAAAATTTCACAAATCAGGCATGAAGTATGGGACAATTCAATTTTCTGGTTTTAAGTTTCAAAATTCAAAACTTAGGTATTGCTTAATTAATTAAAAATATCTTATTAATTAAATATATGAGGTCACAATTATTTAATTAACGATCATGGATGCGTACTTATAGGTCACAACTCACATAATATCAAATTAATTAGTTATAGATTATTTCATCAGTCACAAATCAAAAAATTTATAAGTCATAATTTATTTGTCAATCACAGATTTTCAAATTAGTTGGTTAGTGGTTACAAATTATTTTTCAATCACAAATTATCAGATTTTTATATTACAATTAAGTCGTTGGTCACATACCGTCACCGCCAACATTATAGCCATTGCCACCATAGCCACTTGCAAGCTTCTCACCTCGTGACCGCGGCCACCACCACAATAGCACCACAACACCACCAACACCACAACACCACCACTAGATCCAATCCACTGCCAACAAAACCACCACAGTGACCGTTATCGGATCTCCAACCACCAACAATCGCCACTAAAAGACTCCACCACAACCACCACTATCGCATCTTCATCGCAAAGACTGATAATCCACAGACGTTGATATACTCAAAGAGGTACAACAAGTGTATCTATAGGTTGAATAAATACCTATAGCCTGAAGGTCAGAGAGCAAACAAAATATTCATTAAGAGGTATGTCGACGTTGAGTGTGTATGTTGTCGTTGTCGACATCGGATTAGGGGGGTGTGGATAGGTGGAGAAAGTGAGAAGATGGAGAGTGAGCATAGAATGAAATGTTTTTAGGTTTTGGAATTGAATTGGGAGGAGATATTTAATATTTAATTATTATATTAATACCTAATATGTGAATAAATAAACTTTGGAGCTGATTTATGAATTATAATCTTTAAACACCTGTTGACATGTAATTTCCACGTTAGTTTATTCAATATGAATGTGTGGAACATGTTGAAGATTATATTTAAATAATTAATTAAGTATTTTTTCCCTCAAATTTATTAGATTAACAGTATCGAGAAGTACTACATGTACATAATTATCTACATAATGATATTCATAATTACACGTGGCACTGAATCCAATATTTAATTTAAATCGCACATTTGCACATCAACAGTCGAATGATTGTCACATCACATTACGGACACCATTATGTATAATAATTATGTACAAGTAGAATTTTCCTAATAATATCATAAGATAATAAATTTTTTAATATTAATCAATATATAGTTTAAAAAGGATTCATAAAATTAAGATAACCGTTCGACTGTTGTAAGAAGAGAACTAATTCTTTGGATTCAACATTTTAATACAATTCAATCTAGGGAATTATTTTATACGTTAACCAATTGGGAGAAGTAGTTTAATTCCTCTATAAATTTAACATCTACTCTGTCTCTAGTTGATATATATTTTTTTATTTTCTCAACAATCGAGCTCAATGGAATCACATCAACGACCCCAAGGTCATAATTTTTAGGGAAAATTGCAGTCGAAATACCAAACCTTTCGTTTATTAGTAGACTTTGCTCAAACCTTTGATTTGTGCCACCGTGAGGACCAAACCTTTAAAAAATATGCAGTTCAAGTCCAAAATAACGGTTTTCGTTTGTTTGACCCCAAAATTCGTCAGTTGACCCCAGAAATTAAAAATCTGATTATTTTTCCCAAATACAGCAAGGACAATTTGGACATATCTCATTTTCTCTATTAAATTAAAAATTAAAAATGCAAAACGAAAAACCATAACCCCCCACCTCATCTCCTTCTTCCCCAACTCCCTCACCCCAAAACACTAAGCATCACCACCACCTAAAACCATAAACCTGAACCACTGTCAATAACCCATAAGCACTAAGCATCACCACCACCAACGAGGTGCTCGTCTTCAGACATGTTGGGCCTTAGCACCACCATGGTCTCGTACCAGAACCTTTTCTTCCCCGCATTGCTGCTGGGGTTGGAATAATAGTCATCTAGCTCATCTCTTGACCCACTTCCTACGCCACCACCTGAGGTCGATGGCAAGGCGAGAGGGGGTCTCTGTTGCTGTGGGTGTGCAATGTGGAGGTACTCACTTGGGCTTCTGTAGTTGAAATGCTCATGTGGGTGGTGAGTCAAGAGTAGCTGTTGTTGCTGGTTCTGGTGGTGGTGGTGGTGGAAGCTAAAACCTACGGCTCCTTCAGTTTCCTTCCGGTGGAAATTCCGATGGCAATTGCAAGCGGCGCATTTGAGTGCATCCAGGCTTCCATTCGCTCCCACTGCCATAAACTCAATGCATCCATCCACCGCGTGGCCGTCGATACCCACTGTGTGATTTTCCAAACACTGTTTGTACCTAGGCTTCCTCAACGATGTTTCAGCAGGGCTTGACATTTTGGCTGGCCAAGTCGAGTTAGAGTTGCCGAGTGAGTCAAAACTCGAAACCTCTCCCTCATGCTCCTCCTCAAAGGCTCGACATATCTGAAGACGATAACCCATGAGGCCAACTGTAGTAGTGCCGAAGGTGGTGGTGCCGAGGTGGTTTTAGGTGGTAGTGATGCTTAGTGCTTTTGGGTGAGGGGGTTGGGGAAGAAGGAGATGGGGTGGGGGGTTATGGTTTTTCTTTTTGCTTTTTTAATTTTTAATTTAATAGAGAAAATGAAATATGTCTAAATTGTCCTTGTTGTATTTGGGAAAAATAATCAAATTTTTAATTTCTGGGGTCAACTGACGGATTTTGGGGTCAAACAGACGGAAATCGTCATTTTGGACTTGAGCTGCATATTTTTTAAAGGTTTGATACTCACGGTAGCACAAATCAAAGGTTTGGACAAAGTCTGCTAATAAACGAAAGGTTTAGTACTTCGACTGCAATTTTCCCTAATTTTTATTTCTTCAGCAAACTAGAAAGACCCACACGCTCTATCAAGCCGAACTCTTCCACCTTTTTAATAGCCAACAAACGATATTCTCCGCCTTGGCAATCCAACTTGGAGTCTACCACTTTGATTCTGGTGCAACTGATAGTGCATCTGTTCATGTGAATAAGTTTGGTGTCTAACTCCGATACTAATCGTTAGACATTGAAGTTTCACCTCAAAATATTAGGGTACTGTTTGTACATTATTATTTACAAATTATTTTACAGATTGATAAAGTGACAAAAAGAAAGTGGAGGATTTTTTTTAGTGGAAATTACATAAAAACCTACCTTTAAATATCACATTTCATAAATCATGCGCAAAGTTTACTATTTCAAAAATCAGAATTTTGTTTTAAGATAATATTATTATATAAATATATTATTAAATTAAATTAAATTAAATTACAAACCAACCCTCAATTTCCCAAAATCTCTCTCTCTCTCACTGTCACCAGAAAACAGCCGATCGTAGAGGGAAATCAATCGTCGCTCCAACCACCGTTCCATCAGTTGGTCACCTGAAAACAACCACTCGTAGGATTGCCATACACAATGCAGCCGTGCGCAGGACCACCTTGGTGCTCCATCAGCCATCGTGTTTAGATCTGTCAGATCTCTGATAAAAAATTGGAACATAAAGCCCCAATCAAACAAATCCTAGATGAGGAAGCCAGAATACATGAGAAGCCGGTAGTGGTGGAAGAAGATTGGTGGTTTTCCTGATTTTTATTTGTTTTTCTACTTTGAGGAAAAGTGGTGGCTTTTCTCGTGCAGTGAGAATTGTTGGTGTTGTGGTGATGATGGAGTGTTACTGTGATGCTACACGGTGGTGGTGTTATGAGGTAGTGGTGGAGGTGCGCAGTGGCGATGGTGGGTGCTGTTATTTTTTTGTTTTTATTTTTGGGTGACAGATTTATTGAGTTTTAGGTGTTTTTGTTGGTGATTGGTGGTTTTGTGAGCGTCGCGATGGTACTGGCTATTCAATGGTGGGTTGCGGTGGTGTTTTTACAGGTGTTGATGGTGGTGGCATAAGCATTGGGTGACATTTTGGTGGTGACACATTCCGGTGGTAGTGGTGGTTCGGTGGTTGTGCGATTTCTCTTTTTTTTTTTTTTTTGGGTGACGATTTAGTTGGTGTTTGGGCGGCTATTGTGGTTTTGCGTGGTCTGGTGGTGGTAACGGTGATAGTGATGGCGATTATGGTGGTCGTGAGATTGGGTTGGATGCTTGTGACCAATTATTTAGTTAATTGTGACTAATAATTGGTTAATTTGTAATATGTGACCTAAAAATTATGACTGTGACTCACGATTAATTAAATTGTGACCGAAAAATTAATCGTGATCAATTAATCTAATAATTTGCAATGAATAAATGAATTGTGACCAATAAAAATTTTGATTCTGTGACCCATAAAATTTTTTATACGTGACTGAAAAAATAATATATGACCTATAAAATCTTTAATTTGTGATCGAGAAATAAGTTGTGACTACAATTTGATAAGTTGTGTCTAAAAATTAATCTGTGACTAAATAATTTTCTAATTTGTAATCGATGAACAAACTGTGACTTACAAAATTTTTGAATTATGATACTAAAAAAATTTGTAACATAAAATTTCTGATTTATGACCAAAAAATAATAAGTGACTAATTAAATTATTCATTTGTGACCAAATTTTATATATCTATGACCTAAATATATTTAATTAATAAATTAATTAATTAAATCAATAAACAAATATGTAAGTTGTTATTAGAGGCAGATTTAGAGGGGGACTGAGCTTCTCCCAGCCCATTTCAACTTTTTGGAGGTATAAAAAATTAAGTAAATTTTTTATTTTTTTAAAAATTTATCTATAAAAAAAAATGTCCGATTCTGAATCCGTCCCTAATTATAATATACATGTAGCACAATCGAGAAAATAACATATTAGGAGTAGTCCAGTTCCATTTTAAACCAAGGTCAAGTTTGACCCACATTATTTGGAAAAAATACATTTTTAAATAGTGATTTAATATCATTTCAACCACATATTATTTAATAAATTAATATTACACGCAAATCCAAAATTTCTCCTTATTTTTTAATGACACATTTTTCATCAATATACAATTCAAAAATATATTTTTCCCAAAATAATGAGGCTCAAACAAATATAAACTTCGTGTCTAACAAATATAAACTTTTACTTAGCCCCCGTTTGTTTATCATTTTTTGCCCATTAAAATGAAAAATATGACCGTTATCCATCATATTAAGCCATCATATTTGACTTTTTATCTCTTATGTGAGACCCATAACGACTATATTTTTCATTCTTATTTTTATATTAATGTGTACCAAACGGGGCTTTAATATAAACTTTTACTTGCACTTTATCTAAAATTTTAACCTTCTGATTTTCATGGAGTACAATATCTTATTTACTAATGTCTTAAACTTTTAGATGAACAACCATTAACATAGACGATGTGATAGTACTCATAATGCATTATCCATTGAATATTTGAATTAGAAATTTTCTTTTTTGAAGTTTTACATTTCGATGTAAAGATGCAATGTATTGCAACATGAATCTCTCCATTTTGATGTGACATATTGAAGCTTGGAGCAATGTCCCTAACAGATCTTTATCTTATTTTTGGTTGGAAGTTTGAAAACTTCGTACAATTATTTGTAGCATTCTAATAGAAATGATAGTTTGTCTCTGAAAAATCAAACAACATTATACCAATTTATGAAAAATTGTCTCGTATTCAAAAACTAATCATTTCCAGTGTCGTCAAATAACTCAATTTTCTTTCATGAACTATTTTCAACCACACATAAGTACGTTTATTTATCAATTGATTAATCATCAAGTATATTTATCTCAAACTTCAGTCTCTCTAAAAAAAAATTTGGATGAAATGAAATTGCTCGACTCAACCATTGATGACGTTAATGGCTTAATTCTTTATGCTGGCATGTTAACATATAGTTCATGTTTGGTAGACAGTAGTAAATTAAATTATTATATAGATAACGGTTTTATTATTAATTAAATTAAATTGTTATGTAATTTCGATTTCGCCTTTTTTTAAGGAGCCATCGTTAAGGGTTTTATTATTATCATAAACAAGAGAGAAATATTAGAGAAAATAAATTGTGCAATTTTCTCTAGTAAATTTCTTTTCATCATAATAAACATTGTAACAACGGAAGAAGGCGTGATCTTATATTAAAGCGAACATCTATAAATCTCGCGTGTTCTTGAGTGTCTATTTTTCTGTCTATTTGGTATAATAGAATTAAGGCTTTTAATTCTTGGCACAACACAATTTATAAAAATTTGCTCCAAAAAATAAATGTAGACAGTATACTTTACAAAAATTGCAAATTACGAGACTTATCGTAGAATGGCCCCTGCGAAAGCAGTCACGAGGGAGTCGAATTTTCTATAACATCTGTTTTTCCAGATTTTCATTTTTCAAATTGAGAAGCTGAAAGTAGTGACCTTAATCACAGAAAATACAATCTGAAAATCTAACATCCTACATTTTCTGCAGCATCCCTTAACAGCTGTTCTTTATCTTATTTTTGGTTGGAAGTTTGAAAACTTCGTACAATTATTTGTAGCATTCTAATAGAAATGATAGTTTGTCTCTGAAAAATCAAACAACATCATACCAATTTATGAAAAATTGTCTCGTATTCAAAAACTAATCATTTCCAGTGTCGTCAAATAACTCAATTTTCTTTTATGAACTATTTTCAACCACACATAAGTACGTTTATTTATCAATTGATTAATCATCAAGTATATTTATCTCAAACTTCAGTCTCTCTAAAAAAAAAAATTTGGATGAAATGAAATTGCTCGACTCAACCATTGATGACGTTAATGGCTTAATTCTTTATGCTGGCATGTTAACATATAGTTCATGTTTGGTAGACAGTAGTAAATTAAATTATTATATAGATAACGGTTTTATTATTAATTAAATTAAATTGTTATGTAATTTCGATTTCGCCTTTTTTTAAGGAGCCATCGTTAAGGGTTTTATTATTATCATAAACAAGAGAGAAATATTAGAGAAAATAAATTGTGCAATTTTCTCTCGTAAATTTCTTTTCATCATAATAAACATTGTAACAACGGAAGAAGGCGTGGTCTTATATTAAAGCGAACATCTATAAATCTCGCGTGTTCTTGAGTGTCTATTTTTCTGTCTATTTGGTATAATAGAATTAAGGCTTTTAATTCTTGGCACAACACAATTTATAAAAATTTGCTCCAAAAAATAAATGTAGACAGTATACTTTACAAAAATTGCAAATTACGAGACTTATCGTAGAATGGCCCCTGCGAAAGCAGTCACGAGGGAGTCGAATTTTCTATAACATCTGTTTTTCCAGATTTTCATTTTTCAAATTGAGAAGCTGAAAGTAGTGACCTTAATCACAGAAAAATACAATCTGAAAATCTAACATCCTACATTTTCTGCAGCATCCCTAAACAGCTGTAGAAGCACAGAAACAGGACCTTCAAGTTTTGTGTACACAACACTAGGTAGGACCGGAGTCTAGACAGTATTATAAGCAAGATTTTAGTTTTTTTTTTTTTTTTTTCCTTCATGCAGTCCAACAATATCCAATCCTTGCGATGTAAGAAGTTTTCGTGCTTATTGCATATACATGGTCAATCTTCCGAGTCCTTGTGGGTGTGTCCTACACGGACTGCAATGTCACCTGCCCGGTTGATGTTTGCTCATAGTCAGCACAGGCCTCCGGGGTGTCTTCTTCACTAGGTGGGACGAGCAGCCAAAAAAGTGGTAAATATTTTTCCCACTCGTTGAATGTTGGAGCCTTGGCTGCTCCCAGTTTTTTCCTACATACCAAAGTAAATGTGGTTATTATAAGAATTGTGCAGCAAGATGATTTGAGTTCATGAGTTTAAAGAATCCCGAAGATTTTAGTTCCAAAAATAACATTGACACAGATTTATTTGGTTATTTCAATGATACTTATATTGTTAGAAAAGTAGCACTTCAAGCAAGAAGGATGTTATTATCATAGATCAGCCAAAAACTCAGAGATGGCTGTTCCATTCTTCCCCCTCTTCAGATGCTGGTCGTGTACCAAATCACAAAACAAATTGCATCCGGTTCAAGAGTTCGACATTGTCAAGTGCAAAAAGCATAATCTAGGTTGGCAATTTAGGTTAACTTACAACATAAGCTTCAATAAGGCTCTTAAGCTGCATTTGGCCACGGGAGCAACCACTCTCTGGATCTTCACAATTTCTTTGTTTACCTGGTAACAATTTTACATGGGATTATGGAAGAGTACTAATAATATAAGGGCATACGAATACGATCAAATAGAGTAACTACATTGGACCAAACTGACAAATGAACACGAAATATGCAGATACAATCTCGATGTTGACTTTAAAGCAATGTTTTGAAAGGGTCAAATATTGACCCAAAAAAGGTAAATGGTTAAAGGGTTGTATCAAGGTCCATAATAAATTCACAAATATGAGTTAATTTTCGTTTCTAAAAAATAACGTCCGAACAACCATCCATTAAGATTTTATGACATCATAGATATCATGACATCATATATATCAGAACTCAATGGTTCCTTAATTTTTATTTTTTTTCCCATTTCATTTAAGTGCAGGAAACCTGGTCAACCTGCCTGATTTTTAAGAATTATTTTTGGCCATAATCAGGCTGGTTTTTGGTTTTCCAAGTCGAACTGATCAGGTCAATATGATTCTTAAAACACTACTTTAAAGTTATAATTTTTTTCCTATCATGTTAGAATTTTTTTTTCTATCATGCTATTTGCATGTAGTTTCCACAGGCACAAAGTTTGTTGCCACAAACCTTGGGGATGCGAGTATCGTCCTCATCGAGAATGTTCACCATGATGAAATAGCAGTAATTGAAGCACTTCATCCAAAAATGAATGACCTGAAGAGATGCCAACAAGAAATGTAAGAAAATGATCCTTGTGAACTATAAAATAAATTCCCTCTGGTAAACCTGATCTCATATTTCTACAAAACCCATTCTTGTTACGTGTTGGAGCAAGGATCTCATCTGTAATTATCCATTACTGTTAAACGTCTCTAGCATGATCCCTTGTAGAAGTTGGTGGGAAGTAAAATGCCTTCACAATTTACCAACATCAGAGTTCTAATCAACCTTTGGATCCTTCCATGCAGGTGACTTTCCATCGTTCGATTTTGCATTATGCAGCATATATTAGTTTGCTGAATATAATTAATAAATTTTGGAGGACAAAATTAAAATTATTAGCTGCAAAAAGCGTAAAGTCAAAGGGTACTTCTTGGTCATTCATTTGTAATCCTTATCAATGTCTCTATGATTAGCTAGAATTTCTTATTGTTCTTCTACATCAGTAGACAGTTGATACTAGTACAGCAACACGCAGAAAAAAGACTGAGAACATGTTTGGCTAAGCCTAAGATAAGTAAAGTTACAAAAATGTAACTTTTATGCTTAGCTAAAACAAAAATAAAAGGACTTTTCAAGGAAATAACCTACCAATACAACTTTCACATTCAGTATTTCATAAGCATTATAATTTCGAGAATGGAAAATACACAAACATACACAGAGGGAGAAGCAGAAGTGGAATTGAGCCATTGACATTTAAGTCAAAACAAAAAGAAAAGTACTTTTCCAGGTAAGAACCTATCAGTACCACTTAGTCTTTCACATTCAGTGTCTCAATAAGCAATATAATTTCAAGAAGAAATACACAGAGATAAACAGAAGTGGATGCAGAAGTGCAATTAAACCATTGAACATTTAAGTCAAATTGCAGCGGCCGCCGCCAAATAAATAATACTCCTTAAACAATGAAGGAACTAAAATCACAACATTCCCATTTCTGTAATCCCAAAAACCATTGTGAGTTCGAAATAACAAATGGCAAAAAATACCCCCCTCCCCCACCCACACACACACACACACACAAAAAGGGAAAAACACACCTTGGGTTTCAAATCAGAAGACTGGTGAAGTGAGCCATAGTTAACACGTTCAATGTCAAGAACAGACTGAACAGAGGCCCAGTTTTTCTTTAAACCAAGAAAACTCCTTGCACATTACTATTATTTACACCACCAACTCTCCAGCGAGCTCCTTATCGTTTTCTTTCCACTACAAAACCCAACAAAAGCAGTGAAAAAGTCTATATTGGTAATAGTAATCGGGGTAATTTTAACAGCTTGTTTGGGAGCCATTTTATGCCCCCAAAAAATTGATTTTTTTTATCATTATTTCATTATTTCAGTTTTTATATTTGACTTTTTCTCTTACAAGTTCATTTTTCTCTTGACGATTAAAAAATCAATTCTCAAAATTACTCTCAAACAGGCTCTAAATTTGGAAAAGTAAGTAGCGATTTTTTCACTTTAATCAAAAAACTTTGTCAATCAGCAAAATAATCTTTTATTGAGTAAAAGACAAAAATTTACTTAAGTAGTTCATACAATTAAAAAGATAAAATTTTGTTTTAAAAGACAAAAATACCCTTAAATTACAAATTAAAAAACTAAACACTTTTCACTTTATATTTAATTATTTATTTTAAACAATTACTCAAATTAAAAAAATTAATATTTGATTTACTTTCTTATTTAGATATTTCATTAATTAATTATCTTAATTGATTATGTATATTTTTACTTAATATTTAATTATTTAATCACTTGTTTAAATAAAAAATTAATATTTAATTTGATTTCTCATATCAATATTTTATTAATGTATTATCTTAATTGATTGTGTATATTTAATAAATTATTTAATTATTTATTTTAAACAATTATTCAAATAAAAAATTAATATTTAATTTGGTTTCTCTTTTAAATATTTCATTAATTAATTATCTTAATTGGCCCTTGTTTAATTATTTATTTTAAATACCTACTCAAATAAAAAAAATTAATATTTAATTTGGTTTCTCTTTTAAATATTTCATTAATTAATTATCTTAATTGGCCCTTGTTTAATTATTTATTTTAAATACCTACTCAAATAAAAAAAATTAATATTTAATTTGGTTTCTCGTTTAAATATTTCTCTATTAAGTATCTTAATTTGTTATGTATATTGTTTATTTAAAATTTAAAAAATCACTTATTTAAATAAAAAAATAATATTTATTTTAATTTCTTATTTAAATATTTCTTTAATTAATTGTCTTAATTAGTTATGTATGTTATTTATTTATAGTTTAATTACTTTGTTTAATTATTTATTTAATCACTTAATTAAATAAAAAATTAATATTTAATTTAATTTCTTATTAAGATATTTCATTAATTAATTATCTTAATTAGTTATGTGTTTTATGCATTTAAAATTTAATTACTTGATTTAATTATTTATTTAATCACTTATTTAAATAAAATAATTAGTATTTATTTTAATTTTTTATTTAAATATTTCATTAATTAATTATCTTAGTTAATTATGTATATTTCTTATTTAATATTAAATACTTTATTTATTTATTTATTTAATCGCTCAATTAAATAAAAATTTTATATTTAATTTAATTTCTTATTTAGATATTTGATTTATAAATTATCTTAATTAGTTGTGTATATTATGTATTTAATATTCCATTACCTTATTCAATTATTATTTTAATCACTTATTTGAATAAAAAATAATTTTTAAAAATTTATTAATTATTTAAATATTTTAGTAATTAATTATCTTAATTGGTTAGGTATATTATTAGTCATTAATATTTAATTACTTGAATTTAATTGCTTGTTTAAATAAAAACATTATACCATAATGTACAAGTGACATTATATTATTACAGAGTTGAAAAACAGTTTTTTCGATCCTTCAGTCATGAAATTTCACATATACATTATGGACATCCTTATGAATTAGTATATGTAGAATTATCCAATATTGAATTTGATTTCTCGTTTAAATATTTCTTTATTAATTATCTTGATTGGTTATGTATATTTAATTACTTTATTCAATTATTTATTTTAAAACCTATTCAAATAAAAATTAATATTTAATTTAATTTCTTCTTTAAATATTTCATTAATTAATTATCTTAATTGGTTATATATATTGTTTATTTAATATTTCTTTACTTAATTTAATTATTTATTTAATCACTTGTTCGAATGCAAAATTAATATTAAATTTAATTTATTCTTTAAATACCTCATTAATGAATTATCTTAATTTGGTTACGTATATTATTTATTTAATATTTAACTAGAACATAAATCACATTATGCATAAGAATATCTAACAAAGATGGAAGTCGAACATTAGGCACGGTCACATTTTTAAGACATCGAACATTATTCAAGAATGTCGAAAATATATTTCCTCTACCAAATGAAGTCGAGTGGGAAGTTCTTGATTATAGTATGTTACTCTCTACCCAACGGATGTGTAATATCTATTTAAATCGTATATACTCTCTATTCATAGTATATTATTGGTTTCCTCAATTTTCTCTATTTATAGTATGTTATTGATTACATGACAATTGATCCGACGAAAATATCTACTTAAATCGTATGTACTCTCTATTTCTAATATGTCACCGATTTCCTTAATTTTCTTTATTTATAGTGTTTATATATGTAATTAAAAGTAATTAATTATTTATTATACAATTACATAAAAATTAAAGTATTATAAACATTTTTAAAAAATGCTTACATTTTAAATTATTACCACTACGGATCACAATGTACATAAAATAAAACTTACATTTAAAAAAATGCTTATATTTTAATATGTGTTTGGTTTATTAGCTCTACGTCACGTCTGATGCCAAAAATTCAATATACTTCAATTTGATCTGAATTTGACGAAATTAATGGGAGGTGGATTTAGGGTCTTAATCCGATAACCTAATCGAGATTCGAATTCGATAATCCGTTAACTAAATGAATCAAATATGGATATAGGTCGATCCGATCCGATATCACTAAAACATTCCAAAAGGTGTCTCCTTTAGAAATGAGTTAAAGGGGGCATCACTTAGATAAAAAAAAAAAATAAAAAAAAAAAAATATATATATATATATATGATTTGGGTCTTCTAATATATATAAATATTTATTTTTCTAATTTTTTCAATTTCGGATCTAATATCTGATAGCATAGTTAATCGGATATGAATTTAACATTCAAATATCCGTTGAATTATTGGATCGGATCAAATAGGATAAATATTCTTAACAGATCGGATCGAATTTGAGCAGATCCTATCCATATATCCGATCCATTTATAGCCCTAATTTCAATGCAAAGATTCCACAATCGCCCCGGGTCGAATTCACAGAAGAAGTTGGGCAACGTACCGTCGACGAATGTTCTCTTCTTTGCCTCGATCGTGTATGGAGAAACAATGTATTGTGACAATAATCTAGTCCTCTTGCTAACCATTTGCTTTGACACGTCAATCACATATTTCTTACAGGATATCACTTTCATCGTCTTTTCCCGCATAATTATCACATTATCCAAACTTGCGACATCATTTGTCAAGTTGGGGATCATTTCCGGTATAGTTATGTATATTATTTATTTAATATTTAATTACTTTGTTTAATTATTTATTTAATCACTTAATTAAATAAAAAATTAATATTTAATTTAATTTCTTGTTTAAATATTTTATTTATAAATTATCTTAATTGGTTGTGTATATTATGTATGTAATATTTCATTACTTTATTTAAATAAATTTTACAATATATACAATTATTTCATAAAAAAAAATATATATATATATACAATTATTTCATAAATACAATTATTACAGTTATTTCATCCCCTCCATTGACACCTCTCCCATCCCCACTGATATCCATAACGATTCTAATGAAACATCTGTATACATCCCCACGCCTTTACGGCTACCCTCCCAGTCACCAACTCCGTCACCCACTCCGTCAATGTCTGGGACCCCATCGCCTGCCGACTGTATCTCCTCAAATATGACTGTGACCCTCCTCCTCGATCAACGGTATCAGCTCAATAAGCACTTCAAGTTGACAAATTAACATTTCACCGAGTTAATAACCAAACACCCAGTTTTCGAAATGGCGTATAACATAAATCGCAAATGAATAATATGTATCTCAAGATCGTTGAGAAGAACTGATAACTGTCAGCTTTGTCCCCATGGATAGTTGTTAAATGTGTCGATGTCATCAACAACCTCCAAATGAAAGACGTCAATCGACGTCTTCTTGTGATGATATCTCAAATATGTTCTCTAGTATAAACACCATCCCCAACTTCAACTTGTCAAACATATTGTCGCATTCCTTGAATGCATCTCCTAATTGTGCCAGAGTTACCTTCATAAGCAAGATCGATATAACAGGTCTGCGTACTCCTCATCCAACAAATCTAGGACTAATGCAAAGCTGGCAAAATTATAGTTCGACGTAATTTTGTCCGGAATCTGTCTCATGGCGGCATTCAAATGGTAATCCATCTTGTAAAATTTAAAATATTTATATTTCTTTGTTATTTATGTCAATTAATTATTTTTATTGCTTAATTAACATTTAAGTTACTTGTTTATTGAATTTATTTCAATTAGTTATTTATTACTTATTTAAATAAACAATATACATAAATAATTAAAATAATTCATGAAATATTTAAATAAACAAATAAAGTACAAAATGAATAATTATATATTAAACAAATAATATACATCAATAATTAAAGTAATTAATTAAATATTTAAATAATATACATCAACAACGTTGGCACGTTGGGCCAATCCGAACGGTTGAATCCAACATTGTTGTGAAGTTGGCAAATTTACAGTTCGACGTAACTTTGCTAGGAATCTGTTTCAAGGCGACGTCCAAAAGAAAATCCATCCTACAAAATTTTAAATATTAGAACATTTGAAATATAATGTCACAAAATTCAACTAACCGAACTGTAAG